CACACACACACACACACACACACACACACACACACACACACACACACGGGTGAATTTATCTATCGAGTGGATTACAATTACCATCAGCACTGATCGCATATCCACATTAAAAGGTGGCAAATTGACCCTTTTATTAAGTTGTAGATGACAGTCTGACTGGATATTAACCATAACTGCATCATACAATCTTTTTGTAAGGTAGAAATGAACATATCTAACTGAGAATACTTTACTTCACAATTGATGACCAAGTTTTAGGGTTTATTTCTACCTTCCCGCTGATTGTCTCCGTTCTCAAGCTTGTTTATTGGCTTGTGGCATCCCCAACACTAACTTTTATCAAATTTACATTTTCATTGTGTGGCAAGAAGGAAGTGTTCTGAAAATCCTCCCTTGTTGGTGATTGCAAGGAACATCTGTCAAGCTATGATAAGACTGGAGGCTAAGCGGCAGAAAAGCATCACATTGGCAGAACAATCAATCCCAGAAACAATAAGCAAAAATGGAAAAACATTATGTAAATATGGTACTCCCCCCCCAGTCACCGCTCCTCATGTTATTACTGTGACAAAGGAAAACCAAACTCTGTGCTCTCGAAAGCAAATTGTTGATTCTCGTGACTGGAGCGTCAGAAAATGCATCAATTCATCAATCTTACAAATTGTTGTGCTTTGGAGAATAGCCAGCAGTGGTGCAGTTAATGGTCTGAAACTACAAGTATGTTTTTTTTCATTTGTATAACACAGCATGTAACGCACTATCTGATGTGTGCCTCGGATGTGCAGTAATGCCTTTACCGCACCAGTTAGCCTGATCTTAACAAAACATTTTGAACACAAACATTGTTTTTCATACGTGTGTTTGTGTGTGAGCCGAGGCTGGCAACAAACGAGCAGTAAGACCTGAAACATCAGTGTTTTACTTCTGCCTTGTGTATGCTGTAAACTCAGGCTGTGCTGCACCAGGCCTCAAGACTGCTTGTCAAGATGAATGACTGGTTTGACTGGCTAACTGAGAGGAAGTATGAATAAAACAGAGGACACAACACACAAGGAAAAGCTCCGCTCTGCTCCATCGTTACGTTACCTGGTGCGGCAGGTATTCCCAGGGCACGTGCTTTGGGTTGATATAGACCGTAAACTTTGTCTCCATCTCCTTCAGGATGCTCTTGCACTCCTCCTCGTTTAAAAACCTGGTCACTCCTGGGACATTTACTGTGATGGTTCTGGTGCAGATAGAGGACACGACACCTTGCAGCACCTCCTCTGCCATTTGACAAGCAGTAGCGTGGCCATGGAGCTATCGGGTCAAAAGCAATGTTAAAACGGCAACAGAAATGAAGGAGACAGTAGCTTGAAGAGCAAACATTCAATCACCAGTGGCATCAAACCACTGCTTCTTACTCTGCTTGGACATGTGATACTGGTGCATCGCATACCTTTAACCCACACACGTCCTCTGCTTCCAGGGGAAAAATAGACACCTGGTCCATGTCAGCCAACAGCTGATGACAATGGATCTGGATGTATTTCAGCATGCCCGGCTCCATAGAGATGACCATCTCCTTTTCAATGGGCGTCGTAAGAAACTCCATGATTGCCATCTGCTTCTCGCTCTCCATCCCCTTCAGAGTGAACACATCAATATTCCCGGCTTGTTCCGACACCTTTACGGTGGAGAAACCCAGAGCCTGCAGGAACTCGGACCACTCCCTGCAGTACAACATGCACTCATATTCCGCGTCCACCGGTATGCTGAGGTGACACAGCTGGGATTTTAAAAAGCTACACGCCTGGTCGGCAGAGTTCTGGCACAGGGAGGTTACAACAACATTACAGTCTGACACGGTGTACATGGCAGGTGACCCAGTTCGAGTCATAGTTTGCAGTAGATGCTGTTTTACGTCTTCTCTTGCGAGGAGCTGAGCCTTTTCTGGCTCGAGGGTGAAACGAGTCTTAGCCATTTTGACAAAACAGTCCAAGATGGCGTGTCTTATCTGCTCGACCTTTCGTCTGTCGGTCCCTGCAATGTGCACGCCATTGTCTTGGATTTGGATGGTGAGATTCGTGTGAGCATTTTCAGTGTCCCGTCGAAAGGTGCCGAGTTTAAACAAAGCAAGTTTTGCTGGGTCAGTGATAGGAATATGGCTCGATAGTGTTTCTTCATCCTCCGTTTGCTCCTCCATGACTTCCTCTGCCGCCGCCTCCTCTACTGCTTCAGGGGCAGCAAGAGGCTTTGAGGCCACATGAGAGGAGGACTGGCCATCTGCATGGACCACCATGGGAGGACTGGTCTGCATCTGAATATCCTCAGAGTTTCTCTCAGTCATATCTTGGCTTTCAGTTCCAGAGTCCTGTGACAGCAAACTTTCTGCGGGTAAGAGGAAGTCGTAGTACGGTCTCACGACGAGATCAGCACCTTGCAGCTTGTGCGGGTGGTCGAGAGTAGGGCCCACCGCTGTTAGAAGCAAACATTTTGGTTAATAAAGAAAACTATGACGAAACAATAAAGAGTTTTAAAAAGGTTGTATAACACTAACTTACATTCATAATTGACAAAGGACACCTTGGCTGTACCAGCTGAAAGCATCGTGACGTCCTTCACCTTCTGATTCCCACCTCGCTCGCACTCAAAGTACAAAGTGAGCAGGTCTGGAGAGGTGCTGGGTTGCAGGTTCTCCACTAAGACGGAGTCAGTCGGCTCAGTCTCTTCGAGAGTTACCTCGGCCCCATCAAGTTTCCTCTTGGAGATTCTAGCACCAAGGTTTTGGAAATCTAACAAAAACAAAATAAAACATATTAAACAGTGCTATGAAAAAAGATGACAACCTGAATATTTGAAAGCACAAAAGCAAAAAGGAAACCGTCTGTGTTTAGTACACCTTTCGAGAGGGGTTGGCTGAGTTGAATGAGGATGAAATCTCTCCCGGGCGAGGGATACAGAGTGTAGTCAGGCATGTTCAAGCCCATCATGTTCTCCACATAGAGCTCGATCATCTCCGTGCTGGTGTTGGGCTTGATCCCCCGCAGCAGCAGTCTACATCGGTCCTTCGAGGCCGGCTTTCTCACACTCAGCTTGACATTGTGCAGAACGTGGTGCCCTTTAGACAGCACTCTGGCTGCAGCTGTCAACGTGATCCCAACAGAAATGAAAGGCAGAATTAGCATATGGTGCTTTAATGACAAATTGAGACACGGTTTCCATTAATCGTCTAGAATTAGAATTTCTTATTCGCACAGTAATGCTTTGTTTCTCCTTAAGTGTGACAGGCTGTATAAAGAAGTTGTGATACTGTAAATATTCTACATTTCACAAGTGCAGGCTACACCAGAGTTGACTATGATATTGTTTGTTGATGCTACTTTGTTAAGAAATTGGACATTTTGAAGCAGCTAATGTCAAAAGTTATCAAATCACAAAATATTCATGTACATATTTGCTAAAAATCCCCCCGACAAGTACTCCTATGTTGCCACTTGCCTTCTGCCTCTTCAAACAGCAGTATGGCGCGGTCACCGTTCTTCTCCACAGAGACGAGTGGACCCCCCCCAGAGCGCCGCTTATTCTCAAAGTACAGGAACAGCAGCTCCTCATCCACGAATGCCGGCAGCGCCAGCACCTCCACCGTCCGCTCCTCGGGGCTTTCAACAGGCATTCTGAAAAAAAATATGAAACACATGTAAACACATCGTTTATCATCTTTGGGTTAGGGTCAGACCAATCCTGGAACACATCTGTCTGACAACAATTTAGCTTCTGGGGACAACTGCCAATATCTCAGGTGTACAGGAGATACAACGAATATCCAGGTCATCATCTTCCATGTCAGTGTAAATAATGCTACACTGTATATCAAAATCATAATGTTTCAGACTTTGACACTTAAAATATATCAATATTGTATTTTACAATACATTTAGGAAATATATATTTGGAAAATTAGGTGTTTTATTTTGTATAATAAATAATAAGACATTGCATTTGACTCAAATTAACTTTATAATATTCGTATAGACTTCCACACAAGAGTACAGGTACGTTTCTGGGTTATCTATAAGCAGTTCAACAGAAAGTTGCCATTTAAAACATATTTACAGCAAAACAAGCAACAAACACAGTTCCATTTTTAAATGTGTTTAAGAGGACAGAGTTCTGTTGTGATAGATTAAAGCCTACTCTCACTCTCTCACACACACACACACACACACACAACACTGAACTGTCCACCGCTACCTGACAAGAAGCTCGGCCTCTACAACAGGTAACGTCACAGTATGAAATGTAATGGTGATGAACTGAAGAGACATTCCACTTCAACTATTTACCAAATAGAGTCACCTATTCTTCGTCTATTGTTCCTCTACTGCGTGTAGTTTACCTGAAGCTCGCGTCTGCTCTTTGCTATCGTTAAGCTAGAAAGTGAAACTAGAAAGTTAGCTAGTAGCTACAGCTGCCATGTTTTAAAACACGGAAGCTCTGTGTTTTGTTGCACATGGTATTTATTCTCAGAATAATAATATACATTTCGCTAAGGATATACAAGGTTTGTTGGAGCATTACTTACTTGGGCTACAAGGAAAACATTTGCTCATAAAGTCGTTCTGCGACAAAAAAGTGGACCGAGAGGCGGAGGACTTCCGTGTTGTGCTGGTTGTCGGGCAGATGATGACGTCATCGGCTACAAGATTTAAAGGGGAACGCACCGCGATTTAAGGTTCCCGATCCCAATGTACCCCCTTAAGACCTTAAACCCTGAAACCTCAGGGACTTACTGGGGTCACCTGGTAAATGGTTGGCCAAATCCTAATGCCCCCCCCCCTTAAACGCCTTAAACCCTGAACCATGGATTTACTGGGGTCACCTGGTAAATGGTTGGCCCATTCCCAATGCCCCCTCCATAAGGCCTTAAACCTTGAACCCTCAGGGACTTACCGAGGTCACCTGGTTAGAGTGTGAGAGACTTGAAATTGTGTAAATATATCACGTTCCGATGACAACGTCTAAAAATATTACGTACAATTGTGGGTATTTATTTTATGCTTCCACTAGTAGCCCTGTGATTAAGGTCACATTGCTAATTCCCGTGGGCAAAGTCTGCAGAAATGTGGACTTACGAAAAGGGTTCACAAAGCCCTCAAACACTCGACGATTTGACAGTGGGACAGCCCTAAACCCTCACGGACTTTGCGGGAGCACGCCTCAAAGTCTGTGAGGGGTTTATTTGACTTTCTTATGGCTGCAAGTCCAATAGACTTCCATACACGACATCATACAGCATTTAATTATGAGCATATGTGCTTGATCAGTTCTCCATACTGAATGTTAACTTCAATAGAGTTTGCATTGTGTATCTTATGAGTGAGTTCTCAGACCCTATAGGCTGTAATGCAACTATTATATCTCATCAATTATAAATGTTTTCATTAAAAGTGGCGTATGTACAGTCTTGGATATGGGATTTATTCAAGGGTTCTGGAAAAGTGTTAAAGAAGAAATTGAAAATGAAAGAAGTGGAAATCCGCTTAGATGCATTGTCATTTTGGTTAAGATCTGCACCCAAGGAGATATATGGCACATAACAGAGGTACTGCAGGTACTTTTATTGATTGCCAAGAAAATTATAACTGTGAATTGGAAGTATGTTAAACCACCAATCACACTGAAGCAGGTTATTTATTTATTTATTCTGAGGTGTGATGTCAGGGAATGTCCTGTTCTGTTGAAAATAAATAATTGGCCTGTGCATGATTGATTCATGTGCCACGCTGAGTATAGAGTGTGTTCTAAAACACGAGCTGAGATATAAATAAAATAGTGGCTGAGCAGCCTCCATACAAGTCAATGCTTTCTGTAGTTCATTATCTTTCCATGTTTCCATGTTCTGAAGCTGCTTCATAATGAAGCAAAAACAGCAAAGACGTTTGTAGCAGCGCGCAGGGCCAAGTCTGCAGGGACAACAACTTAAAATGTTAATCTCATTTAAGCTTTCAATTTAAAAGTCAAACATCCTGCTGAAGCACAGTTTACCATTCACTATTTATATTTCGTGTTACATTCCTATGGTATCTCATCATGTGTTTAATATAGATTATTTCAGAAAAAAAAGTAATAATCTTGAATATTAAATGGAAATAAGAGAAAATAACCACAAGAATCAGCTGGTATTCACACATTTCTATTACAAGTCTGTTAGTTGTATTGTGTAATGGTGGATGAAACAAACTTACCGCATAGAGGGGGGCACTCAACACCGTCTCTCTTATCATAGTGGACAAATGAACATGTTTCGGATTTCATCCTCTAAAGTTTAAAGGTTTAGAGTCTAAACGAACACAGTTTAAATGATGGAGATGACATGAATATCTAGAAGAGGAAACACAATATGTCCAACAGCAGAAAGAGAAATTAGTTCAAAGTGGTTGCCCAAAGGCAAAACATATTGATGTTTATAGAAACAATCATTATGCTGTTGAGAACCAGTGAAATGTTATGCATTTCTCTAAAAAAGAAAGACATCTTTTATTAAATCATCAAAGTAAATAATTGGGTCTGTGTATACCAGTCTGAATACTGTACAGGCTATAGCCATCTTCATTACAGCTTCCCACAACATGTGTATATATATTTTGTATTATTATTTATTAATAAGCGTCCTTGTCCTTTTCAAATATTTTTGCAAAAGACTCCAATTATGTGTTTCTGTATTGTGGGAGTTCACTGACAACTGAATAACTGAACAATGCATGTTTTTCATTGTCCATCCCTCCCACACAAGTCAGTATCAATGACCTGAAAGTGAGAAATTACACAACGAAAATAAAAATGTTAATTTTTATAAAGGTGCTGCTTGGTTGGGTTTTATATAAGTATACAACAATGTAAACCTCAACTGGATGGAATTGAAGATCAAACACGGGTGTGTAGGACAGACTCTGTAATGTTTGAAGTTTTAAAAGTGTCTGTAATTGCTTTAGCGTCGCATCGGTCTTATAATGGACAAATCAAGTGACGTTAATGCTGATACATGATCTTGTCCACTAGGTGACAGTGTCCCCTGCAGAACAGATGTACACCACTCACTGTCGTCTACAAGGTGGCTGTCAAATTTGAATTATTAAACAAATATTGTGGCATTAGCCTGCTCTCACATGGAGAGGAAAAACATCATAAAGACACTGAGTGGGCAAATGTCCCATTATGTTTCAAGGCACACGGAGCAAATCATAGCCTATTTCATGAGCGCCACCAAGCTGAATTCCTGACAAGAGTTACAATGTTTCAAATCAGATTCTTGGATGAAAATGATAAGTCATAAAGCATTCACACATCTACAACACCTTCCACTCACACATCTACAACAATTTCCGCAAATGCAGCTAATGATTTAAAGCCTGGAAAATCACAGCTGTGTTTCGTCAAAACTGCAGAGCCAGATATGTTGCCAACCCAACATTTTGTTCTGTGGCACATGCTAAACAATCCTTCTGACAATTACTGAAGTGGTTATATGTTATGTTTCATGCGCATGACGCTTTAAAGATGCAGTGTGCAGGATTTGGTGACATCTAAAGGTGAGGTTGCAGACTGCAACCAACTGATTGTCCTCCCGCCTGCCAAGCGTGTAGAAAAACTAAGGTGGACGACGAGAACATTTGAAAATGGCCCTATCTAGAGCCAGTGTTTGGTTTGTCCCTTCTGAGCTACTGTAGAACATGGTGACCAGCTCCGGGAAGAGGACCCGCTCCGTATGGAAATATAAACGGCTCATTCTAAGGAAAACACAACGAGTCTTATTTTTAGGTGATCCCACGCTAAAGAAAGCATACTCTTCTACATTTCTAAATGATACACGCTGTTCCTTTAAAATACACTACACAATAATAACAAACTTTTAAAGGTTGCAAACAAATTTAGTAATACAAATGAAAATAATGAAAATACAGTGCATTGTGATGGTAAAAACCTCCAATTAAAGGCACTTAAAACCTACTTTTTATGAATAATATGTCACAATGTACATCAGAAATGTGCAGTATGGATTTTAATGATAAGGCACCCCTGTATATGCTGTATCATATGTCCAGTCTTCGTGATAAATGATGAACGTTTATAACTTCAACAACAACTGGTTGTTCAATAAAGAACCTGGTACAACATTGATGAAAACCTCATCGATGGCTCCACTATAGCACAACTCTAAAGCCATCTCTTGCTGCAGGTCTCCAGTAATAGAGCCCTTTAGGGCTAGTGGACATTCCAACAATCAGCCCCAAAACAATGCTTTACTATGTAATGAGCCATGTTGTTAAAAAGATGTAAACATAAGTAATCTGTGATCCTAAATTTCTTGAATGCGACCTTTGACACTGCTTCAACGAAAGTTAACGAAAGTTAATAATAGTTACACACTTAAATGTATGCAAAGTGTGTTCTAGATGGTCTGATTTCAGTATGTTTAGACTCAGTATATTCAAATGTGAATTAATACATTTTAGGTGAACAAAAAAATAACATAAGTAAAGAAAAATCAGTATTGCTTGACCATGATTTCTGACCATAATGTTGAGAAATAAAATTCACAGAAATATAATAGAACAAACCCCTGAATAAATGAATTATGACAATTTGAATAACTTTTCATATGTTTTTCAAATTTCAAAGTGGAGGTGGCGGTTCTGTAGTGCAGGTAGTTTATGAGAATTTGGTCAGATTCATTCAGCCTGATGAAAAAAGAGCTGATTGTTATATCTGCCATTATGGTGGAACGTTAACATGAAGTGATATTTACAGTATAGTCAAGAAGATAATTAAAATGCCTTTACGTTTGTTATCTGTAAACATGGATGTGTGGACGGCTTCCAAAATACTTCTTTGCTTTGTCTACACATCAACAGAGTTTCCATGGCACTTATGTATTCGATCCTATCGATCTTATCTATTGTCAGTGACCATAAACATACAAAGCTTAAGGTGGACACAATGCTAGTAAATAGCTAAGAACTCAAAGAGTATGCACATACAATAGTACAAAAGCTGTTCATGTACAGCATGATACATGACACATGTCATTCGGGGGCGACGTAAACAAATGGCAGTGCTTTTGTATTGTTCATGGCCTGGTCATTGTCTTCGTTTGGGCACACAGAGCAGAGAGTGAAGCTCTGTTGGTTTGTCAATAGCATTTGAATCAGGGGACGAAAAGGAAACAGGGCGGACCAGAAGAGTTCATGCGACAACGTCTTTCTAAATCATGACAAAAGCACTCTTCTTCCGTGAGGCGAATGAAAAATAAACATTTGAACGGCTGCTGAGGTTTGTTTGGTGGTCATCCCGCTGCACACAGCTCGGTATCATCTGCCTCTAAACATTTGAATCTTGTGCTTGTCTGCCAGCAGCAGGGTGACATTATATTCGTGATCTCCATCATGGACTCCCGTGTGCCGGAAAGCTCCGGCCAAATGGTTCTCCTCCCAGTAGTGGTGCCAGTTTCCGTACTGGTCTGCACCGAATCCAAACACACTGACCTGGAGCAGACGAGGAACAAAAGCACCATGTCAGAAAAACATGAACCACACGGGACTTTGTTTGGTTTTTCACATCAGTTCAGATTCCTTATTTTTTCCAAACACATTGCAGTATTCTGAAAGAGCGATGTCGAAAGTCATCCCACTTTACTGAGGAAATCCAAGCAGCTCTTGTTTGTTAAGGTCGCGTTCGTAGTACAGTGGCTCAACTTACTTCATCACATATGTGGACGGCCAGCATTAAGCTGAGGAAGCCAGTGGAAGGATATCGTCCATGACCTTCAAGCCAAGACTCGTAGATGTATTTCAAAAACGTTGGACTGTAAATCAACACCTGCAAAAAAAGACGTATGGATTTCTTTACTCATTTGTAATTTAGTGAAAGGGGAGAAAAAGATTTCCCAGTTACATTTATAACTCTGTATTCTATCTTGTTTTAGTGGAAAATACCAATTGTAAGTGGTGTGTCACTGCTCTGCGGCTGTTCTAATGGCACTTAAAACACTATGACACAGTAATTAGGAATGAGATTTTCAAAAATTACAGTCAGTCTAGGCCTAAGTGTTAAAAATCTCTGTATGACTCACCTTATCTTTGTTTGCCTTTATCCTGGACACAACAGCTGTATATGTGCTGTAACACAATAAAAGAACAGGAACTTAAATTATGGGCTTTTAATTGCCTTGAAAATCCCTCAAATGTTGTTTTTGCTAAACACTACTCTGCTTATTTGTCTGCAAACACTGTTGTCAAATCCACAATCACAGTATGAGCGTCCGTCAGTTTGATTTAATGTCTAAAAATAATTGCCCGGTGTCATCACAGTAACACATGCGTATGCTCGCTCTCAAACTTTTGCCATTTTGCATCGTTCATCACGTGAGGGCAGGCAGTGCCGTCTTGTTTGTCGATCCAGGGTGTTGAAGTGCAGAGTTACAACATGAAAATGGGGGAGGCTCCTTGTGTCCACATTCGGTTTGCATATGAACATTTTCATACGCAAAACTGAAGGATGAAGCTGTAAAAACAGTCAAACAAAGTCAATGTAAATTCTACACCGCGCCTGTAGGAAATGCAAAGGGATGGCATGCTAATGGCTGAAGTGAAAAGTAATAATTAGACTGTGAGATACAATCCAGACAAATGTTTCCAATTAAAGTATGTTTTTTTCTATCAAGGCTATTGCCATCGCAGCACTGTGTCTCATTAAAATTCAAAGATTATGCAGAGGTTTAATGCCGTTTGGAAATATGTGCTGTACAATATAGCAGTCAAACCAATTCCTCTATATTTCGTGGTGAGTGAATATGCAAATGGCCTAGCTTGTGTCTGTGGCATTGTACTACACACAACATTATACACCATCATGTTAAAAAGTGCACCGTCCAACACACACACACAGGCTTGGCATTTTTGCTCAGAGAAGTGCTTAAATTTCATGATTTCGGTCGGTCCTGTGTGTCTCCACACGGCTCTGTCCTTTCATAGAACCTCGTTCTATTTAACAAGAATAGAAAATGTAACATAATGATTTCCAACACTCAGTTAAGATCTGCTGGGCTAATGCTGACATTACTGCCAGGGAAGAGAAATTTAATGATGCAGAATGATTTGCTTTGGCAGAGTTGGAAGACAACAGAAACATTTGTTTGGATCTACTCATCCTTCTACTTTCCAACATGTTGGCTTGTTAGAGTTATTGGCAGCAGCTTCATTTTCGGGGCTGTCCAGTAATGAGACTAATGATTATGGGTCATTGAGAATGAAGCAGCTGAAGGTGAAATTTACTGGAAGATTAACTTTGAGTGATTATCCATGTTATGGCAATCTGACAAATAGGAATACTGAGGGAGTGTTGTTGTGACAATCTGGTATTTGGAGAGAGTAAATGGATTAGGGAGCGCAACACACGATGCATCGTAATGCGTTCAAGCCTCTTAAATTCCTGGGACAGTTATTGAACTCTGATTTAATGGAGAAATGGTGCGGTAAATGAAGCATGTATATTTTAATTTTATTTATTTGGAAGTAATTATGGAAATTGAAATAAAAATTAGAGAGCATCTTGTGTGAGATCTGTGTCTGGTAAGTAAAAAAGAAAAATTAAAACCGTGGAGTAATAGATGTCTTAATACATTCCTATGCATTTTGGACTTTAGGCATCAAACCATTGCCCCTTTAATAATGTTGTTGTCTGCTTTTTTCATATTTTACTTCTTGCCTGTGTTTTTTCCTTAAATGTCTATCGTAAAATATTTGTCTCTTTCATCAAATGTAATTTTTGAGCATTTTTTAATGAACTGTAACACACCATTGACACATAATCACCTCATTAAGTTGATGCAATATGACCAAAGTTGCTTTTTACACATTCAGCAGACACAGAGCAAAGTCCAATATTCATTTTTTCACCAGCTAGTTGCTCACCTCTTTAGTTTGGTACTGGGAAGCTATAGCGTACGGTGGGTATACCAGTTTATTTTGCTGAAAACAGCTGTCTGTTGTGGCTTGAAATGAGGTTAATGAATTGCGGGCCCTTAAACCAAAATAATGAGCAAAAAAACGCTAAAAAGCTCCGTAGGGCTGAGGGGAACTGCAGACTCAAGTGATAATTCTTTGTGGATTCATCCCCTTTCACATTACACAGTCATTTGATCTATTTTTCATAAAAATATATAAATATAAAATATTGATTAGTGCCGCTTTAACAACCGATAAGTACACTTACTGTTTAATGGTGCCCGTGGTCAGAGCACTAATGATCCACTGCAGATCCAGAGTCTTGAAGGGGATCAGCACCAGGCTGGTGGTGTTGTCCAGGTCTATGGCACTTTCTGGATACATGACATGGTGTGTTGTTCTGGTGCCCACATCCTCTTCAAAGCCAGAGGTGGGCCCCTGGTTCATTCTGCGGGGACAAAGAAACAGAGATTGTTATGTTTCCAAGCTTTTTAAAAAGAAAAAATCTTCTCTATCTATCTTTATCCTTTCCAGGAAAGTTTAAATTGAGGTTTATTTCACCCACATGTTACAAAGATGGGAAACATCTGGCTTTTTGTTGTACTAATCCATATGGCACCGAGACCATGCGAAACCAGCCATGATTACAATTCGGAGAAAAAAATGTGAATACAAAGACAAAAAGCACAATGTGTCCTCCTTCAACATGTTTTTGGAAATACAAACAGCAATTCAAAACAATCCAGTGTCCATTTAGAGCTCAACAATTACAGCTTGGCAAGCTATAGGCAAGGCGTCCCTATTATTATGTCCAACAATACACACTCTGGAGCAGTAATTGGCTGCTATATACAGTGGCTTGACAGTGGCAGTTGGTGTCGGTCAGCGGAAGGAAGTGACACAGAGAAGAGAAACCATAAAGCGGACCCCCCCCCCCACCATGTTGCTAGCATCATCTGTTTGGGTGCTCCAGTCTGAGCAAAACCACACTCCTCATTACTGATTGAGATGACAGATATATAACAACTTGACATTTTCAGCCGGAGCCTGTCAAGAGTCACAAACAACCTCCTGCAAGAAGCACTTTGTGTCTGCGCTGTTTCACAGCTGATGAGATTTTTTTTCGTTGCTATTTCATGTTGCAACGTGTAAGATATAAAATGACGTATAAGATGTCGCCTCTTGGGTTGACATGACCTTGCGCATTTGGACAGAAAACTGAAACTAAAAGACAGACTTGGGCAAATAAAATCAAAGTGAAATGAGATTTAAATGGATATGGTTTTGGGGGAAATGGGGCAAGATGTGTTGACTTTTGTGCTTCATGCTAATGCTAAAACACTTGTTGCAGCTCTTGCGCCATGAGATAGATCATTTAGTTACATCAAATAATAATAAGGAAGATATGGTTGTATTTCATCAATCAAGTCAAAAACACCACACTGATATATCAAGGTGATCACACAGAAATATGTGAAATGACCACGATATCCTAACAGTGCATTACTTGTAAAATGACGTCCTGCCACCACAGAAACAGTCTAACGGTAGGTTTAGGCAACAAAACAAACATTAGTTTTAGGATAAAACATAATAGTTATGCTTAAAATAAGTAATACATATAATAAATATGTAAACACATCACAAACGTAATGACGTTTCACGGCCTGCGCATCGTGTACCTCCGAAATTTTGTAACTTGGCACGCCCACGACCAGAGCTGACATGACTATCACTAATAGTTCACTATTTGCACTGTCAACACTAAGCACTATGAATATATCTGAGGATTTTACACAGGAGGCAAAATTCGTTCTAAACCGGACGTCTTAAAAAAAATCTTCATTTGAGTAAACATTTTGCAGCCAAACCAAATTGTTTCCAGGATATTCAACCTTTGTGTCTTTATAAAGCTTTCGATACTTGACTTCTATATTCCCAGTGCTCGTATAAAGGCAATAAATAGTCCATGACTAAGAGATATGAGTTCACAGTTAATAACAATTTCTCTGTAAACTGTTCAGGAAAGAAAAACCAGGTTTTGCCACTGCTGCATGTTGCTTTTGCAACGTATGGAAGAAGAGAAGTATTGGCAAGAGGTTTTATGGTGCAATATCTCAATAGAAAAGCACAGTTTTTGACAGGACTACGATGGTGGATTTCTCTCTAAATGGTAACTATAGCTTCTGGGAATTTAAGAATTGCACACCAAATGGATCCCTGTCGTCCAGGGCGGATGAAAAAGGACAGCAGTGAGCGCAGAGGAACACCATGCCACATATCAAAGAGCATGATGTGCAGAATTCATCACTTCTGCCTCGAAGGTAGCAGCTACTTTTTCTGGTGCCTACACATCACAAAACACAACCTATAACACTAGACATGAAACACATAGCAATCTCTTTCAGGACATTTTCAAGACAAACAAAAGTCCGGTAAAATATTACGCATCACGACACATCAAATTGCAGCGGTAATCAAGATGAGATAAACTGTGTCACTAGCACTCTAGAGGCTTTAATATTCCTTCATTTTCTTAACTATATGATCAATGTTTCTCCCACGATAGCTGCCCATCGAGTGTGAGACCACACACATCCTCGACTCAGTCCGCAGAGCCCTAATGCCAAGCCCCCGCTGTTGCGCATAGCGCCACCGCTTGTTTACTAGAAATATCTTAATATTGAACGTGTCGCGTGTCCAAATTGCACCAACTTCCTCACTGCACATCTTTTAAGTCTCCAGCAATTCACCTGCTAAGTGTGAAGTAAATCGGATGAACGGTTCTCAAGATATAGGAGGGCCATACAGTAACTACTGACATCAGAAATTAATAAATATAAACTCTGAGAACAACGGCTGGTTCTGCCTGGAAAGGATCGGCTGTTTGGGAGTCTTCCTGAGCTTCCTGATGCCCCAGCAGGCCACTGTGAGCATTTAGGGGAAGAAAAGCTACCATTAAAAACACAGACTGCATCCTCAGCACAGTCAGAGATATGTATCCTTTAACAACACATTACTTTGTTACTTGTTATAGATACCTTTGGTTTGTCTTGAGCTTTACGTAATCTTCTCAGCAAAACAACAATATACCTTATTATCTTCCCTCGACTGTGACTTATGGCCAAACTATATCCCATTTGACGTCTTGCACAGCAACTTAAAAAATGTAGGGCACTTTTCTAACGTTGAACAGCACAAAATTGTCATTCGCAGCCTTTGCATATTTTACCCATTTTTCGTGTTACTCAAAAGCTCCCCAGGAGATCTGTACCAAACTGCATGGCTCTTGCAATTACTCACTGCAGGGGTCAACGCTATAAAAATGCAAGTCTGTAAGGGCACTCAAGAAGTTAACTCTGGTTGTTCAGTGGATTCAGTGGGCTGCTCCTTCACTTAATCTTGTGGAGGCGTGAGGTGTCAACTGTTCTAAGGCGGTGAATATTTCAGATTGGTCTAATCAATATTCAACTTCTGCTGTAACTCGTCCCTGGCGCTGGAAATGTATACCAGATGGACTTGAAACAAACTGGGGCAGATGTATTGAGCGTTTGAAAAGCGCAATCTCAACAACAAGATGGTTTGCTCATGCGCTGGAAACCCGAGGCTTTTTGCAAATAGCCAGGAATGTGAGATGAAGAATGATTTTAACATTAAGTGGGATTATTAGGATCAATATGTTGTGCATATCAAATACAAGCTCATGTGAAGATTTTGATGTGGCTCTCTTATCTGTGATAATAGGTGTGAAAAAAGAAATCATAAAGGGTCTACAGCACCTTTCCAGGGAAACCATGAAACCAGAGCAGATGGCTCAGTGAAATTCAGAGTGGTGGTCTTACCGACGGCAGATATCTTGACGAGTGAATTTGTAGCAGGGCTACAGGGAGGCTACAGGTATAAAGTGCCAGAACGTTCTGCATCAATCAACGGGCTGAAATGAGCAAAGTTGAACAGCATTGATTGATTGATGAATGAGATTTTTGTTGAAGCTTTTTACTGCAAACAGGTGCACTGCTTTGTCTGAACATCAGTGAGTGAACAAGACTCCTGCATCAGATGTGACGGACTCCACCAAAAAAACATCAATGACTTCACTTCAGATAATTGAAGAAAAGGCATGGATGAAACATCACAGAGGCAGGTATTTTATTCGTTTATCAGGTTCCACATCAATGTATCACTGCTCAGTTTAACGTCGTTCTTGTGTAACAGGCTGCCGTGGGCCTAATTATGGGCTGCTGCTGGGATGTCTAAGCGATTCTTGGTTGATTGCGCTGGCATCAGGCCTCGCCGTGCTTCGTGATTTACACATAACATAAAAACGGAGTTCAAATTACAAGGGAGCCCTAAAGTAAAGACCTGGGTTCCCCCGAAAACAACAAAAGTTTGTGTTTGGGGAAGTCTCAAAAATGTGGAAAATGATCAACGATTATCTCAAAGCATTTCTAATGCTCTGGTGAATGTTACAAGAACAATTAAAATCTAATTAAACTCCAATGTCCTGAGAAGTAGTTTTAAATGCATGCTGCTGCTGTGAGCACTAACTGATGACTAACTGACCTTACTGTTCACGACCACACACCTCTGGTCAGCCACAAAACATTTAGAAGACAAACACCTCTTCCACTAACAATGACTTTGTTTACGCGCTCATATTCCACAGTTATTCTGAATATGACTCATGTAAAGATCATATTCAGTTTGGATATTTTAAAGTAGGCCTTATTCCGAATGGAGCATTTTCCAATTAATGTGGGACGTGCTGATATTATTCTGGGTTTAGGAGCATTCTTTGGACATGTATGCAGCGCATTCGTAATATGCGTCTCAATAGGGGTTTTTAATGGCACTTTGCAACACAAGGCCTCTTTCCTGCTTACGACCAGCTCTGTGCGTCGTACACAATCCAATAAGCAATAGTTTGCAACACTGAAGTAAAGATGATTGCCCAAAAATAAAGCCCACATTTCTGTTTGAAAGGAGAAACACACCTACTTTAAAGCATAATGAAGGACTTGGATATCAGCAGGTTTTTGTATATGTGAAAATATCGCAACGCCGACCTTTATAAGAAGGTGGTTAAAGGAATGAAAAAGGGAGGCTGTGTTTGCTCGGTCCAACAAGTCCGCCACCGATGGAAAACTTGCAAAAAAAAACATATTTTGATGCAAAGAAGCAAAATGGCAAACTCTCTGGGAAAGTCTCGTCTTTTTTGTCTTCTTCTTGAAAAGTGAAAAAAGTAAGACTGTGATGCTGATACTTGATGAATGGCACCTTTAATGTCAAGGCTGTTGCCAGCAGGCAGCCAGCAGGCAGTTGGACATTATTTGTCTAATTATTATTAATTTGTCCTCAAAATGCTGGAAGCTGTACCCATGCTTCAAGGTGCAGCCGGCTCACGCGGCATGTAATAGCCACCTAACACTTTAAAGGTCAGTGGCATTT